TGCCAGCCACCCCAAAACAAAATTGCATGCTGAAATTAAACCAGCAGCACAAAAATTGTGCTCCATTTGAACAAGGTAGAATAGGGTAGATGCCAAGCAGCCAGAAACCAGCAGAACCCACAGGAGCACCATAAACAATAATGAATGTAAAGGAATGTAAATGAGTGTTGTTAATTGAAAAATAATTTCCTTTTGCAGGGGTTAGGTAAGAAAGGGAGAGCCTGTGATAAAGGAGCAGAAATACCTCCACAGAACCCTGGTAGCTGTGCAGTGCGGGGTGATTTTGAGGGTAGTTTGTGTATGTACCTAACTTACACTGCCAGCCACCCTAAAACAAAACTGCATGCTGAAATTGAAACAGCAGCACAAAAATTGTTCTCCATTTGAACAAGGTAGAGTAGGGTAGATGCCAAGCAGCCAGAAACCAGCAGAACCCACAGGAGCACCATAAATAATGAATGTAAATGAATGTTGTTTATTGAAAAATAATTTTCTTTTGCAGGGGAGAGGTGGGTAAGGGAGGGAGAGCTTGTGATGAAGGGCAGCTGCCGCCCCTTGGCTAAGCCTCCTCCACTGAGACAGGCAGTGATGGCTGGTGTTAGTGTTGGCGAGAGAGGAGGATCAGTGGACAGATAGAAACTATCCCCTCCCTCTCACTTTCTGAGGCATTAGTGGGCAGGGCTTATGGTTGTGGTGCCACCTCAGTTTATGCTGCAGAGATCCTCTGATATGACCTGAGTTCTATTGGGTTTGTGCACTGACTGGCACAGTGGCACAGTTTCTGGGGTCCACATTGCACAGTTTCTGCTGCTACTGGCCTGGCTGGCAAACATGCCCCCTTAGATTCTCCAATTTGACCTGAGTTCTATTGGGTTTGGGCACTGACTGGCACAGTGGCACAGGTTCTGGGGGTCCATTTCACTGGTTCTGCTGCTGCTGGTCTGGCTGGCAAACATGCCCCCTCAGTTCATGCTGGATTTGACTATAAAAAATGAGGACCAAATGTTAGGTCTTTGCTAGCCGCTACCCCCCTTGCCTGCTTTAACTCCCCTTCTGCCCAGCCTGCTAAAACCCTTTGTCTTTACCTGATCTCTTGGTGTGCGCAGCCAAAGAGGTCCATGCCCTGCCGGCTGGTTCTCGCAGAGTGTGATTTAGCAAATACCCTAGGTACTAATTTCTTACCCTTCAATTCTTAATTGCAACAGACAAGACTTCAGGAAAGATAAGTATTAAACCGTAAATCTACCTACCTCTTAAGTAACAGGGACTATTCTAAATACTTCTGTATTTCTTAAAAAAACTTGATTGCATGTGTGTATGATTCTGTTTTCATGTGTATGTGATTCTGATACTCTTCAGTAAAGAACAAACTGATTGGAATTCACCAGTCTCGTCTCCATCACTGGGACTCTGTGGGGTAGACAGAACCTCAGTAAACTTTGGCAAGAACTCACGTTAAATTTAGTTACCAACTGGTGTAAATAAGGCAGTTTGGCTAACAGCTTCTTACTTAACATTGCACAGGCTCTGCTGCTCAGTTTATGCTGCAGAGATCCTCTGGTTTGACCCGAGTTCTGTTGGGTTTGGGCACTGACTGCCACAGCAGCACAGGTTTTGTTGGGACATTGCACATTTCTGCTGCTACTGGCCTGGCAAACATGCCCCCTCAGTTTATGCTGCAGTGATCCTCTGATTTGACCTGAGTTCTGCTGGGTTTGTGCACTGATTGCCACAGTGGCACAGGTTCTTCTGGGGGCCACACTGCACAGGTTCTGCTGCTGACCTGGCAAACATGCCCCCTCCGTTTATGCTGCAGACATCCTCTGATTTGACCTGAGTTCTGCTGGGTTTGTGCACTGATTGCCACAGTGGCACAGGTTCTTCTGGGGGCCACACTGCACATGCCCCCTCAAACCACCATACTCACTTTCTTACAGAGAGATTCTTGGGGAGTCACTGCTGCCTGCCCTTTTCCCATCCCCATAGGAAACAATTGAGGATTGGTGGCACCCTCTTTGGATGTCCCTGGAATTGGACCCCCTGGTCCAATCTTTTCAAAACTTTGGGGGTCTTTTGGGGAGAGGCTCCAGCAGCTACAAGGCAAATTTGGTGCCTCTACCTCAAACCCCCTCCCCCCAGCCCCCTGAAACCTTGCTAAAAGATTTTTCCCATTGACTACAATGGCCCCATAGGATATAATGGACCCGGATTTTTTCGTATATCCAGAAATTTTCTGATATCTATACAATACTGGTATTGGTATTCGGGGGTTTTCGGTATTCCCAAAACAATTTGGGCTCAATATGTCCGAATCCGAAAAAAACGTATTTTTTTCCCTGCACAATCTTACTCCAAATATTCAAAAGCATTTAGAACAAAAATTCACTACTTTGTTGCATATTACAGTCCTCTCACATGCATGGCAGCAACACAACCTGCATTTATGACCTTCCAGAGCACTCCCTGGTTCTGTTGTCTTAGTAACAGAAACCGAAGCTGATCTTACACTAGCGCTGTTGGTTGCTGGCTGGCACCCAACAGGAGACCACGGAGGACAGGGACACGGTAAGCTGCACTGTCATGATGTCACTCCTGGATTCATTGCAACACTCTCAGATTCAGGTGAATCCTATAGCACTATGCTGACACAGTGCTATCATTTCCAGTTTCATACCAGAAGTGACATCACAACATCTTCAAGTGCATCTTTTTTGCCCCATCATCCTACTGAGTGGTGGCAATGATCAGGGGATGCTTGATTTTCTTTACTTGCGAACAAGACTGCAATGGAAATTTATTTTTACAAAGCAAAATGCAGTGTCCTCTCTAATGAAATCAGGTCAGAAACCCATGCCTCAACCACCCTTTTACCATTGTAGTCCACTGCTTTTGTAGAATACACAGGATAACTTCCCAGCATTCAATACAGTTGTGAATTACTGCTGAATAGTATGAGAATCTCAAATTTAGTAGCTTTTTCCACTTCCCACCCTGCCAGTACAAAGTTTGTCCCACCTCCAAGGGCATAGGATCAACACAGGTAGGCATAAAGATTCAATTGAATGTCATGTGCAACACATGTAAACCCAAAGTGTGAGATAATTCCCAGGATTCTATACAGCATACCAATCAAGCCATACAATCAGACAAACCTACACCAATTGGAATTGTTATGCCCAAACACATACTATAAAATGGCTTGGAGGACAGACAGACCAGTGAAGAGGGAACATGCAATCTCCTACTCCCTTCCACACATGA